TAAGGGGAGAAGGGGCTATATAATACAGTCATTGCAGATGTTTGGGTTTTGTGCTTTTATTTATTTGTTTCATTTGATCTCACAACTGAATACTAGTGTTAACCTGGATAAGTATTCCAAGTAAGGATTAACTTTACTGTTAGCAGTTTTGTTGAATTAATGGAAATATATACTTAACTCATTTACTGATTTTAATTATTGTGGGTGTTAATTATTTAACCCTTTGCTGAACTTAATACCCAAGTATAACTTGCTAAACTTTTTACAAAATAATGCATAGGGATAAATACTTAATCCCTTTTACTAACCTTTACGTGTGGGGATATGACATTTTTTAAAAATAACTTACATCCAGAGATAGCTTTATCATCTTTTTTACTGAACATAATACATAAGGTTAACTCTCAAATTCTATTTACTGAGGCTTAACACATGGGAATAAATGTTTAAACCTTCATACTGGTCTTAATGCCTAATAATCTAAACTGACCCTAGTACATGGGAGTAACTGTCTGACCCTTTTTACCGGTCTTTACACATAGGGGATATTGACTTCTTTACTGAACTTGTATGTGATGATAACCTTTATAAACATGGTTGATTAGATGCTGTCAGTACGTGGTTGATTAGATGCTGTCAGTCTTCATTTGTGTAATTCATAACATTTTTGCAGATTGGCCAACAGCTAAACATTTTGTACCTTAACGAAGGAGAGTGTAAATATATATATATATATATATACTGTTTGATTTATTCAAAATGTTTTATTTTCATACATTGTGGTTTTGTTGTCTTCTGTGCTATCTTATTCTCCTGTGGATATTTAAAAACAAAATAATTGCATAATTAACTATGTCTGTAGCAGTTCCAGTTTGAATTAAGTATAGTTACCTTAACTTCGATAATTTATTTATTTTTTTCAAATATGAGTTTAATTACTGTTGCTCCAATTAAAGGTGTGGATTCTACATGGCATAACTTAAAAGTAATGATTTAGAAATGTATTATGTAGTGCAAATGATCAAAGTGAGATTGGAAGTTATTACTTCCAATTCATTTGTAACTAACCCCAGTATTTTTCTAATAAAGTTATTTGTGACAATACATTATGTTTTTTTTTGGACTATTTTACTTTTTTTAAATATTTTCTTGTAACAGTTTTCACAGTTATTGAAGGACATCGGAGGTTTCCTCATGCTCAATTGTTGTTTAGACAAGTACGTATAGGTAGCGCCATCTTAGTCACTGTGTATTAAATTTCCGGAAAACCTAAAGTCTAAACTAATTATTAGTTATTACTAACGTAATTTTAGACAAATACATTATTTAGACTAGATCTACGACAAGGTGTGATTCAACTTCGACATCAAATAATATTTACTTGTTATTATAGTACATTTAATTTGTTGAAGTTCTGAAGAAGTCATGTGCCATAATGCAAAATGGCGTAAGTTATGCGAGTTTTCGTGTAAAAACTTGTATATTAAAATGTATGTATGATTTATAACTTTTTATATAAGGCAGAGTATTATATATATATATATATTCACGTATTTTACATAAACCTTTTATTCAGAGTTCGGATTGTTACTGCTCGGTGGAAATAAGAAGTTTTTGTGCTCGTGGTGTAACGTGAGTTTTTCCCGTCGTTTCCTTGTTATGAGACACCAGCGCTACCACTGCCCAAACCGACCACCTCACCTACTGAGGGAGAGATTCTCGTGCGACAAATGTTATAAGTCGTATTGCCGTTACGAAGTATTGCAACAACACAAATTAAATTGTCGCTGAAACACCGTAGTCTGTAAATAAATGTTAATAAAAAGTTTAAATAATGCTTTCGTGTTCTACTTCTCTTTAATTGTCCCTCATCAAGAGTGCCGTTTCGGATGAGCTCAAACGCATAGCAGTTTAGAGAAACACCAGACTACACTTATCAAAGTTTGAAACGATGTCCAGTTCTATATTCTAGGTGTGAAGGATATCAAAGATGAGATATTAAATTTTCCAGAAGGAAATACCGAACGGCTTATTAAAAATAGCAAATTTTGAAATATCTTTTAAGTTATTTGTATATTACTAGGGCTTTATTTATAAAACCTCGCACGCTACCTATCTGTGTATTTTTGTATAGTTTTTCAGGTGAACTATCTTCAGTCCGGAAGCTCGTCGAACCCCAAACAAGGAACTAAACCTTTCACATGCACTGTGTGTCATAAATCTTACAGTACAATCGCGTCTCTGCGTTCTCACCGTACTTCAGATTGCAAGAGCAGAAAAGTGTATTTTTGTCCGTCATGTGGAAGGCCTTTTGGTAGAAAATTCTCTCTCAAACGACACATTCCTACCTGTGGAACTACTATTATCTGAAGTTATGATCACACGACTAGAGGGAGCATCGGGTGATGGTATACTATGTTCTGTGACTCATATTGTTATTTTGATTTATTTTTTTCAGTTGTGTTTATAAGAAAACTGGGTGGGCCATAGCGAACCCTCAGTAAAAGAAAACGTAATTTATATTAACAGCAAACCTTCATGATTAAAACGCATAACTATTGAATCAATCTAACTTTAAAAATTTTTTACTAACCACCACTGTTATTAATGCACATAAGACGTAAGGCATAAAAAGTCGCACGAAATATAACATTAGAATTAAGAGGAGAGGGGTCGTTATGGCCCACTATATTTCCAAGAATCAATAATTAATATCCTCATGATACACAGTATTGATAATGTTACATATGAAAGCTATATACAATATGGTTTCTTTGGTTTTATTACTCGTGGTTTCTGGTTAGTTAATATTTGTTATCAGTATAATGCTATGAGAGCTTAGAAATGTTATATTCTACTACAGATATTTAGTATCAGAACAACTACTAACTTGTTATACATAAGTACCACGGTGAATTTCAACATGTAAGAAAATAATTAGTTTTAAGTTTTTCACAGGAAATGTATTTTGGTAAAATATAGGATTTCGGGGGAATATTGTTCGAGAACTACACGCGAAATATTTTGTTAGAGCTTGTTCTAGTTTTATTAATAAGTATGAAAATGTGGATATTACATTATTTTTAACGTTAAAATACTGTTTACATCTTATTAATAATTTAAAAATTCGATTTTACCATCCGAGATAACTTGTGTTTAGTTTGATACTTTTGCCAAAAAGATAAAGGTTTATAATTGTGTTATTTCAAAAGTTTAATCTGGAAATCAGATCTGTGTAGAGCTTTCTGCTTATTTTGAAGTACTTTTACATTAAAATAACAACATTGTTATAATAAAAAAAAAGTCAGTGTGTGATAGTTTTATATTCATTGTGTTGTCTTAAATGTCAGTATTTCATAGGGGACTAACTAAGTAGTAACACTATGTAATAGTAAGGCACTCGACTGGTAAATTGCTAGTTCGAATCCCCGTCATCGAACATGCTCGTCCTGTCAGCCATGGGAGCGTTATAATTCGACGGTTAGTCCCACTATTCGTTAGTATAAGAGCAACCCAAGAGTTTGGGGGGGGGGGGTGACCGGCTGCCTTTCCTCTAGCCTTTCACTGCTAAGTTAGGGACGGCTATCGCATATAGCCCTCGTGTAGCTTTGCGCGAAATTTAACAAACCCAAACTTTTATCCGTGAGGGCGTTATGAGGTAACAATCAATTCCACTATTCGTTGGTAAAGGTTAGCGCAAGAGTTAGTGGTAGGTGGTGATACTTAGCTGCCTTCCCTCTAATTCAAAATTAGGAACTGTTAGCGCCGATAGCCCTCATACTACTATATAACTTTCCGTGAAATTCAACAAAATAAACAATAAATTTTTCGGGATAATTTATTGAAATAAAGAAGAAAATGGTATACAAATTTTGTACTAAACAAAACTCAATAGTTTCCGTGAACCAGTTCAATGTGCTTTTTAAGATAATCTTTTCTACAATAAGTACTATTACAAAGGTGACACAGGTATCTCTTTCTGTTCACCAGGTGGCGTTGCATGTGTCGTAGCAGAGAGTATTTGTCATAGAATGTGTGATGACAGTACAAACACGTAGACTGACTATCTGCTCGTTCTGGATTACTTTTGTTTTCTATCCAGTGGTTCGGCAACTCCTTTATAAAACCGTCGTTTTCTGATAAGAGTAGAAATAAACATACACATGTAAAAGACAACACATAGTCTGTTTTAGGGTTATGAATTTTATACGTATATGATACATCTGGCTAAGACGACACGTTGAATTATAATAAATGCATCTTATATAACAATGAAATTCCGAAACTACACAAATATACCCATATATGCATGTTTACAGATTTAGTTGACCAGAAATAAGGGGACACCAGAAAATATACAGTATTAGCTTTTTTTAAGTTGCAAAATAAATTAAATAGATATAAAAAAGGGTATTACATGATAACTACAGTATTATTATTTTCCCGTTTACACATAAAAACTTGGAACAATTATGCATATAACATACAGTACAGTTTACATCAAAATTACTGAACCAATATTTTAGATATGTAAAGTAAACTAAGTGCTGCAAGAAATGTTCTTGATGTGAAGTTTCACGATATCACAAGAATTTAAGGAAGAAAAGAAGGCCTTCCTAGTTTGAAGGAATATATTGTTTCCGGTATTTCAACTTACCTATACACAGATGGAAACCATCTTCACAGTAGATTTCCCTCCCATTGTGAAAATCTAAGTTTGTTGATGTAGGGTCCTGTATTACGTTATAAAAGTAAGGAACAGTAATGAGACAAATTTTCTGTCATTACTACAGTGTAGTGTTTATCAAAACAAGCTTGGATGTGCTCCATGGATAAAATTACACTTTACTGTGTAGATTATGGAATGGAAAGTCTTAACGTAAATCTTTTAAACCAACTTTTTTATTAGATGCATGCAAAAAGTAAACTAGTACAGTAGTAAGGGATGGTTTAGGTTTTTCATTGATACAAGTGAAACACATTAACCGAAGTTGCTTATAGTTTTGTTATATTCTGATGTACAATTTTGTTGTTGCAAAATACTGTATCCTGTTCAGGATTAGGCTGCACGACATAAAGAAGAGTCCTGATCATACAATAAATGTAGTTCTTTAAAAAGCAGGATATTTTCCTACTTGTACACGTATGGAATGATAGTTTATGCACAAGTAATTGTTTAAAACAGTTATGTCCTACTGTCACTTCAATCATTTCCCTCAAGGCTAACGTTAACTTATTGAACAATAAACAGTCAGTTCTTATAATCTGACCAAGAATGGTTTGTGTAAACTATATCATTAAGCATCATTATGACCTAAAGGCACAACATCATCATATTTAGTGGGACAGGGCAAACTTTTTGTTGAAGAAACATATAGGTTAACACCTATGTGCATGTATTACTTAGGTAACATACCTGCCATATTTAGTAAAGTCCCTTGAAAAAACTGAGAGAAATAATTTAGTTAGAAAATGTTGTATATCTCCTCACTGAAATCTGCAGGTATCTGTTGGAATTTTAATTGGCTACATTCTCTGGAAAAGTATTAGAGGTTTGAAGACTGAGTTAAACATAATGATACAAACACATTTGTACTGAGGCAGTATATCTGACAAAATGAGGAGGTTGACTTTTCCTTTTATATTTGCCTATATCCATTGATTATAAAAGTCCTTTGACAAAATTTTATTGATTAATATTAAAATCGGAGCAAGCTATGTACTTGGACTGAAACTAAACATCAGCTTGGCTATCAGTATATCCAATTAAATATACTTTTCTTACATTTCTACTTATAAATATTAAAAGCACTGAAGTTGAGTTGAAGAAAAAAATGCTCATGTGCCTATGGTAAAATCCATAACTTCAAAGAACAGTAATTATATCAAAACGAAGTTGATTACCTGATGCATATTACTTTACTTTTGTAGGGATGGGGAAAACACAACATGTAATGGGCCTGGCCAGGTGGTTAGGGTGCTTGCCTTGCAATTTGAGGGTCTAAATCCCCATTACACCAAACATGCTTGCCCTTTCAGCCAAAGGGGTATTATAATGTGATGGTCAATCCCATTATTCATTGGTAAAAGAGTAGCCTAAGACTTGGCGATGGGTGGTGATGACTAGCTGCCTTCCCTCTAGTCTTTCACAGCTAAATTAGGGACAGCTAGTGCAGATAGCCCCCCGTGTAGCTTTGCGCAAAATTCAAAACAAACAAACACATGTAATATACCTTTTCAACACACCTGGATAAGCTTCATAACTAGATTATGGTGATAAAACTGGAAAATCCAAGCAACACTGAAGTAAAACACCTTGCTCAAAAGCTTATAAACTTGAGCAGCTGCCAGTATGCTTTATTTCTAATTAACTTATATTTTGTTAAAAATTAATTGCTGAGTATTACAATAAGAGTGTTGGAAATAAAAGTTGGCATTTATTGTCATTACTAATTACAATAGCATAAAATCTTTCATACATGTCTGAAGAGAGATTAAAAAAACCTATGTACAGTATGTTTACAAGTTACCTAAATAAACATCAAACTGTTATTGTTTCATTTACTGTGAATCATATTCATATGGAAGTCAATGAAACAGTTTTTCTTATTGTCCATACAAAATGCAACGCCACACTTTCGACACTGGATTCTGCTCCTCCTCTGGATTTTCTGTTTCCCACACACAACACACCGTCTAGGTGTGCAGCGCTGAGGAACATGTTCTCCAAGTGCAGGATAGGGGCCAAACGTATGAAGCAAATGCCAAGGATTACGAATGTCATCTTCTCCAACTTCACAATTTGAGAAAGGAAGCTGGTTTCCTGTAATTTATTAAATAAATAGCTGTAATGATAAACAGTCACATTTAATTTACATTAATGTATACACACATGCTTCTGTATTAAGAACTTTTACATTGTTGGTCTTTTTTATGTATATATAGTTGCTACAGATAATATTGTAGTAATCACCTGAATGCTTAATCCAATCTAACCCCCCTTTTGTTTTATGCTGCTGGATATATGTTAAGGAACAGCAGAACCCTGAAAGTTTGTAGCAAATCGTACAAGGAGTCTCTTTGAAGAGATCTATATAAACAACATTTGAGCTTGTAATAAAAAATAAATATTACAGTAAAAGAAGTGGCTGTACCTTGTAAAACTCCACACTATAACACAATATTTGTATTAATTTTGACATTGCAATACAAGAGAGAGTAATCCTCAGTTGTGAACAGATGTCAAAAAGATTCCTACATTTAATTGAATTTAGTTTCAATGAAAAAAAACATTAAAAGCTACTTTAATTTAATCACTAAACCAACAGCAATCATTGTTTAAGAACAGATGTTACTGACTTTAGACTGTTATAGAAAGCTTTAAAAGTCTCATTTTAATAAAGGAATTTTAACAGATATACTTCTGAATATATGCAAGTTATAGCTACTCTGAGGCAGCTTTCCCGAAATTGAACATGTAAATTTTGAATGTTTGGGTGAGGCATGGTATTCTAATAACCAATAAACACAATTTATGAATGGTTTCCAAGTGTAAAATGATTTTTAGATAATTAAAAAAGTTGCCCCAATAAAAAGAAAATCATGGTATGTTTAGTTTTGTAAGTAAATTTTAATACTTATGACCAAAACGGAAAGGTCCTATAAAAATATGTTTTGAATTTAGATAATTCCAAGTGCATGATTTCTGGATAACTAGAATCCAGTGCAAATACTAAAAATAGTTTATGCATGGATGTTGCCTCACCCTGTGATCACAAAGATAGGACAAATATTTTCTATTTAGATTAAAGGAAAATAAGAAATACATGACAAATAATTCATATATCAACCAAATGAAAAGTCAGTTATTTTGTTTTTCCAACAATAAGACAAGTTTACCAAAACAAATTGTGCTTATTACATTTGAAGAATTATATTTTTACTGAATGACAAACATCTTTTGCTCATGCCATACTTGAAAGAAAAACCATCATGTACATTGATATATGGAAACTGGAAAGTTTATATAATGTTGAGAAATAGTGCACAACTTTGCTATGGATGTTTTGGGAAGTTTTAATCTTTTTTTTTTCTTTCATGACTGTCTTTAAACAGCATGACTACAACGGTTGTAAAAAGCACCGATGCATATGCAAACAATTTTAAAGTCGAACATTAAAAATGTTTTCAGTTAAAAGTTTACACAAGGCACTTGGATTATGCAAAAAATCGTTTTTATTTTTCATTATTTAAAAATCACCTGCAGTTTATCTCAAATCAATGACACCTTACAGAATGTTAGACCAGCAACAACTCACACCAATACACTTGTCTAATATTAATGAAATATCACAGAAAAAAATCTTTGATGCATTCAAAATGCAATTTATGTTCTTAGATCGACATGCTAGCATATTCCACTTGTTAATTATTAAGTGCAAAATTTTATGATATATTGTATATCAATAACAGGCACATCGTACGATATCAGTAACAGCAGTAGTTACTTGATATTTTATTCATGTCTGCCAGAAAACTAGGTTATATAAATCTAAGCAAAATGGAGTTACCTAGCAATATAACTTTTTCTATATCTAAAATATTCAATGGTCCTCTTTTCTTTATAAAAAAAATAATATATTAAGAGTTTGATATCTTAAGTAGCAAAGACTTCTGTAAATTAAAAAAACTAAAACAATTAGATTGTCTAGTGTGAGATAAGGCAATCCTTATATATATAACTAAATCTTAACTATGAGAAGAATCTAGACACAATTTCCAGTCCTCGGAGTGTTTCCTCTGTACATGTCGTAATAAATCATGTTTTCTAACGTAAGATCTCTGACACAAAACACAGCTAAACTTTACTGTTTCATACAGATGGGCCCTTCTGTGGCGATGCATGTTTCCTGTCATAGTAAATCTTTTCCCACATATAGGGCACTGAGTCTTTTTCCATTTCCTTCCTACAAGAGATAAGATAATGACAGCCTGTACACACTCAGACTCTAGTAACTTAAACCTAAACTGTTCATTTATACAAAACAAAACTATACAGATTTATAACGTAGGTAAATAAATTACAACAGGCATTATAATAATATCCCAGATATGCTTTAAATTAACATTAAGATATTTTCCACATCAACCTGAAAAAATACTGTAATGACAACACCTTTTTTGGTTTACATGCTAAGACACCTGAAATATGCAGTTAAATATAATTAAATTCTGATCAGAGCAAGCTAGCTACTTAGATCAAAACTAAAAATCAATCTGGTAATGTTTATTTTGTTAATATGCACAAAGCTATACAATGGGCTACCTGTGCTATGTCTACCATGGGTATCAAACCCCAATTATTACCAATTCGAAGTCCTTAGACTTACTGCTGAGCCACCAGGAGTCAACTTGGTAATGAGTATAGTTAATTAAGTATACTTTTATTATTTACAAAAAATAGAATGTATTATTTCATCAGTTGTGTAATTTCACTGTTAATTATATTTTTGGTTGTGATGATATTAAGATCTTGTATTAGACCTACAGATTTTCTTGAAGGTTTTATGATACTGAAACACAGTACATCTGGCTTACTTGTCAGCGAGTCTAACTATAAGCAATATTGAAGTTCAATTTCAACTGTGTACTAAGTAAGAGAGAAAAAGTAAGTAAGTACAGATCTTATTCATCTAATGTTTGTAAACCAGTTATTAATTGAACTACTATTAATAACTTTTATATATGTTTTCTTGAAGTGATAATTTATAATGTAAAAGACATGTACAAAAAGTTATTTAAAAAGTGCAATGGAAGATATTAATAAAAAGAATCTATACCATCACACAGTGGTAACCAATCAATCAGTTATATACTATCACACAATGGTAACCAATCAGTCATATACTATCACACAGTGGTAACCAATCAGTTATATACTATCACACAGTGGTAACCAATCAATCAGTTTTTGGTTACCACTGTGTGATAGTATATAACTGATTGGTTACCACTGTGTGATAGTATATAACTGATTGGTTGGTTACCACTGCTTAGTTTGACTGATTGGTTACCACTGTGTGATAGTATATGACTGATTGGTTACCACTGTGTGATAGTATATAATCTTTAGATAAACAGATCATAAGATTAATCCCATGTTTCAATTATTAACATTGTAATCTTTAGATAAACAGATCATAAGATTAATCCCATGTTTCAATTATTAACATTGTAATCTTTAGATAAACAAATCATAAGATTAATCCTAGGTATAAGGTAGGAAAATTTGTTAGGATATGAATGAGTGCAAACTACCAATTCTATAGATTTTTAATTGTGTTAGATTTATTATTGATTACTAAAAGAAGATATTTTATTTCTCCAGGTCTAGAGTTTTTAATGAATAGGCAAGACAAACTGAAACACCAGTGTTGCTGGTGTGCAAAAGTTTTCAAGAATAAAAGGAATGCAGAACGCCATCAGTTGTATCATTGCCACGAACGACCACCAAGTTATCCTTCAGAGAGATTTATGTGTTCTCTATGTGAGAAGACATATTGTCGGCAGGAATATCTAGACCAACACAGTTGCTGGGTGAAAAGGGAAATGGCAAAAAAGTACAAAAATTTTGCACAATCTTGAATCATTGTTTCAGATAGGCCTACAATATTATTATTATTATAAGTTAGTTAACAGTCACAAGTTTTAAGGTTTTAGATTTCATATGAAAATATTCCATATGTGGTGAAATAAAAAGAGCAAGTATATATAATAAAATCATAGTTAACTTTATGTTGTGTAGTTAAGTTGTTTGTTGATGTCTAATTTAAAAGAAAAAATACAGTTATCAGATTCAGTTAATTGTCATGGGTAGATTTATTCTTTAGGAATATTGAGCAGATTTTATTTTAAAATATTTCTCATAACTGAATGATACTTTAGAAGTTTTGAAGATTTAAAAACCCTAACATGTTTGATACATCTCAGACTAAGTAAGGGTTCAGGGGAGCTAATTATTTATGTATTAAAGATAGAATCTATATTTTGAAATCCAGTGTTATAAAATTTGTAGAGTACGATTTTGGAGTCATGTCAAATATAAACTTTTTTGTTATTTGTAAAAAGTACTGTTACTCCACCTTAAGATTTTAATGTGAATGCAGGTTAAGTTACTCAGAAGTGCATGCTTTTTTTAACAAGACACTTAAAGAGCTGTTCATTGATATTCAGCATTAGCACTTACCAGTCATGATGTTTCCAGGTAACTAATATGGCTAACAATATATATATTATTATTATTTTGACTAATTACAGAAAAATAAGTTTTCCTACCAAAGAAAAAAATAAATTTTACTGAAGTTGGTGCTCCAGTGTACATTTATCTTGCAGTATAATTGATTTTTTTAAACTCCTATATAGACACTAAAACATTACCTTCCATCAGCTTAAATGCTTTGCTCAGTTGACCACAAGAAGCTTTATTTAGCAAAAATTCTCTCTTAGAGTAACTTGGTAACTCAACATGCCCAGAGCATATTTATGGGGTGTAAAGAAAAGATCTAAATAAAAAGTAAGACTTTGGGAGAAAAATTTGAAGAAATTTTTTAATTGGCTTAATAAAGAAAATAAACTCAATTTGTAAATATGTTTAACATTTTTTGTTTTTAGGTAATAGTGGAATATGATATTGACACAATTTTCATTAGAAGTTAGCATGTTCTTCTTCATTATAAGGTATGAAAAATAGTAAGGATTTAATTGTGTTATACAAGTTAATAGTATAGTATATTGCTGTGACCTCAAATGGATAAAATACTTGATACAATGAGAATTTCTTTAACCATTTAAATCTCTCAGTCATACCAGGCCTGTTTCTGAAGATGAAAAATTAACTGACTCAGTTTTGGTTGAATAATGTTGCTGTGACTGTTAAGTAACCTCTGAACCTTTAGTGGATCAGTACTTATAAACTTGACAAATTTAAGGGACTTTATAATACAATTGTAGAAGTTAGTCTTTGTGACTATTATTGTCTTAATAAAACATTTAACTTGCTGGTGTTAAGGAAGGCACACAAATATAAATAGATTTATCATTAATTATTGAACTTGTATCAGATTGATATTTTTATCATATTCAGTTGATTGCAAAATCATTGTACATAACTAATGGTTTGGAATTATTGGAAATTCTTTACATCACTCACAACATTATTGCAACTGTAGAAAAATCATTATCTATAGCATAATTTTTCAGATAATGATGAAACATATCAGAGGTATACGCATAACAATGTAGGATTAATTAGTAATAAAATATTACATACCAGTGTTTGTGAAAATAAAAAACAAACATTGTTGTTGAAAGAGCCCAAAATGTTGTTATAGCAATGCAGAAATGTTCTTTAGATAAGAGAAACTGACAGTATATTTACACTTTTGTTAGCTTTAGAGTATTAGTTATCAAAAAGAATTACATTATTTACTTTTGTCACTGTTTAGTTTGTATTTTTTATTATTGTTTTGTGAAACATATGAATAAATCAATAAAAAAAAATATATTCCAATTAGGGAATCACAGCAATGTAGAGTTATTCCTAACAATGTAGGATTAATTAGTAGTAAAAAATATTACAGACCAATGTTTATGAAAATAAAAAACAAACATTGTTGTTATAGCAATGCAGAAATGTTCTTTAGATAAGAGAAACTGACAGTATATTTACACTTTTGTTAGTTTTAAAGAATTGTTTAAAAGTACTTAAAATAATTACATTGTTATTTATGAAACACTGAGATGGTTCTGTAAAATATTTACTTTTGTCACTGTTAATTTGTATTTTTTATTATTGTTTTGCTAAACTTATGAATAAATTAATACATTTTTTTATATTCCAATTAGGGAATCACAGCAATGTAGAGTTATTCACACTTTTTTGTCACTGATCTTGACTTGATCATACTTATAGTTTCATTCTCTATAGTTAGATGGACTTGGGGATCTTTAATTAGAAGCCCCCCCAATGGACAGCAGTATGTATGTTGACTTACAATGCTAGAAACCGGGTTTTGATACCTGTGGTGGGCAGAGCACAGATAGTCCATTTTGTAGCTTTGTGCTTGATTACAAACAAACTTAATGAGAAAATGAAATTCTGGTGGGAAGGAAAGAAGGCTTCTGTTTTTTTCCCTCCATGTAATAACCATGCAAGTAGATATGATTACTACTCTTTGAAAGAGAATTACGATGCTACAAAAATATCAAATCCAGCATACTTGTATGAATATCCAAATGTCATCATCTACAAGTCATAGAGAACACATTTCTGTAAGGAAATTCTCAGAAGTGAGTTTTTTTATAAATGGTTCCTTAACTGTATAAAGGAAAAGTGCTTTAGCTCTCGCATCTTTGAAAAAATATCAGCTTCAGAAAATCTATTGAAGTAACCTGGTTTCTAGAATTAAAAAATTTATCATTACCTTTGGTGAAGTCTGTAATATGGTTTTGTTGGTACTATGTCATCTACACGCTGAAGTCTTTTTTTTTCATACTTTCATGTTCTTCATGCTTATAATGGTAAGTTTCCTGATGAGAATAGGTGCTTAATACATTAAGTTCAACTAACAGGAAAATTTTTTGAAGTTAATACTTTCAAGCAGAGATACCCAATTTAAACAGAACTGGTGTTCATCATATGAAACTATGTTAAAATCTGTTCTTGTGTTTAGAATGGGGGGGGGGAGATTCAAATTTCAGAAATATTCATTAAATCACCAAATATTGTTTTGGAGCATTTAAACTGTACTTGAGAAATAGTTAAGGAAATTGTGATTAAAGTATTAATGAATGCTCACAGAAAGGGTGGGGTGGATTTCTGACATGATAGGTTTATTGTTAGGCCATCTTTCTAATTAAAGACTCAAAATCATGAGTGTAAAAAACCTACTATTTAAACAGACGTACATAATACACAGATGCTGGTGACTGTACTGGGTAAACTTAAGTAATGAGGCAAGAAATGCTAAGGAAAATAAAAATGTTTATCCAGTAGTGAGTAAAGATAAACTAGCTTAGTTTGACTGATTGGTTACCATTGTGTGATAGTATATGACTGATTGTTACCATTGTGTGATAGTATATGACTGGTTGGTTACCACTGTGAGTGAAGATAAACTAGCTTAGTTTGACTGATTGGTTATCACTGTGTGGTAGTATATGACTGATTGGTTATCACTGTGTGGTAGTATATGACTGATTGGTTACCACTGTGTGATAATATATGACTGATTGGTTATCACTGTGTGATAGTAAATGACTGATTGATTACCACTGTGTGGTAGTATGTGACTGATTGGTTACCACTGCGTGATAGTATATAACTGATTGGTTACCATTGTGTGATAGTATATGACTGATTGGTTACCACTGTGTGATAGTATGTAACTGATTGGTTACCATTGTGTGATAGTATATAACTGATTGGTTACCACTGTGTGATAGTATATAACTGATTGGTTACCATTGTGTGATAGTATATGACTTGTTGGTTACCACTGTGTGATAGTATATAACTGATTGGTTACCATTGTGTGATAGTATATGACTGGTTGGTTACCACTGTGTGATAGTATATAACTGATTGATTACCACTGTGTGATAGTATATAACTGATTGGTTACCACTGTGTGATAGTATATAACTGATTGGTTACCATTGTGTGATAGTATATGACTTGGTTACCACTGTGAGTGAAGATAAACTAGCTTAGTTTGACTGATTGGTTACCACTGTGTGATAGTATATGACTGGTTGGTTACCACTGTGAGTGAAGATAAACTAGCTTAGTTTGACTGATTGGTTACCATTGTGTGATAGTATATGACTGATTGATTACCACTGTGAGTAAAGATAAACTAGCTTAGTTTGACTGATTGGTTACCACTGTGTGATAGTATATAACTGGTTGGTTACCACTGTGAGTGAAGATAAACTAGCTTAGTTTGACTGATTGGTTACCACTGTGTGATAGTATATAACTGATTGGTTACCATTGTGTGATAGTATATGACTGGTTGGTTACCATTGTGTGATAGTATATGACTGGTTGGTTACCATTGTGTGATAGTATATGACTGGTTGGTTACCACTGTGTGATAGTATATAACTGATTGGTTACCACTGTGTGATAGTATATGACTGATTGGTTACCATTGTGTGATATTATATGACTGGTTGGTTACCACTGTATGATAGTATATGACTGATTGGTTACCACTGTGTGATAGTATATGACTGGTTGGTTACCATTGTGTGATAGTATATAACTGATTGGTTACCACTGTGTGATAGTATATCTGATTGGTTGGTTACCACTGCTTAGTTTGACTGATTGGTTACCACTGTGTGATAGTATATGACAGGTTGGTTACCACTGTGTGATAGTATATGACTGATTGGTTACCACTGTGTGATAGTATATAACTGATTGGACAATGTTAATAATTGAAACAAATAAGCATACTATTATTTCCTATCGAAAACTGATCAAAATTTTAACAATGACATTTAATTATTCTGATTAACACATGCTTAGATATCTATATTGTCTAATGTGTGTTAACAGCAAGTTTTGTTGAAGTTAAAAAGATGCGTGCACATATGTCAGAGACTCTACAAAACTGCCTTAACTGATTTCAACAACGTAATAAGAAATTGATTGTCCAGTATATATTGTATGAACATTCAGCTCCTGTAATCAAAAACACAACACACTTGAATTACAATACATAGTTTTATTTTCATCATTTACAAGAGTTCAATTTCATAATCAAATACAAATTATATAAAAATTACAGAAGTGCTTACATACAGTCATTAAAGAAGAATGAGTGGGTAGGAAACATTAACTTGCACAAGGCAGAAATCTTGTACCACAATCATCTGAACACAGCTGTCATGATGGTAATAGCCAAGTTATTAGCTAACACTATAACTAAACCAAGTTGAATATGACTTTAGGTATATATTTATATAGAAACAGTTTTTCTTTAAGATGTCCAATTCATATATTTTTAATTACAGCACAATTTGGATTACAGCAGTGCTGTTTCAAAATACCCAGAGGGCTGGGGACTTCCCCCAGTAAAATATGCATCTGGACCCAGTGCCTTTTTTGCATATCAACCACTACATTTACACAGTTAATAACTTCATCACTAATTTGAATTTAAGTACAATCCTACAAACTCGTTTGTGACTTAAATCAGCGTTAGCTCAGTTTTTCTGCTACCATTTTTTAACACACTGGCTGGAATATTGATCAATTCATTTACCCCATTACTGTTACTGTTTTTCTTGATTGTAAATGATATCTTTGTGTAGGTTGTGCAAGTTGTTCTGAGTTAGAATTTAAAAAAGAAGTTTAAAAGGTATGATTTCATTACAATAAATGAAGTCGGATCAAACGTGCTCTTTTTGTTAAACTTTACTATCTTGCCCAACTTTTGGGAGGACCTTGTTCAAGGGGAATGTGTACTGGGCTCACTCCCCTTAAGGGACACTATGATAAAATTTTCCATTGATAATCTAAACATACTCAAATTTTTTATGTGGTCATTTAGTTATAATTTATTGTATCGTACATATGGGAAATATAGAAAAGAGCCATATGAATTCATTTTCAAGTTGGCTTTGCTCCTGAACATCCTAACAAGGGGTACTGCCCCCTTGACCTGGGCTGGAGGAAGAACCTCAGACCCCCTTTTACTTTAAATAATAATGAAAGCCCTGGTACAGTTTTCCACTTTGCTCAGGTTAGTTTGATTTTAGCTGTTCAGTTCAACTAAAATATGTTCTTTGCTTCATTAAACAACATTTTTTGCCAGTAACCTAATTTCTCTAGTATTCCACTAGAAATGGTATAACTTTACTGTCAGACAGAGTTTATGTTATCATTTGAAAATTAAATGTTATACAAACTGTATGTTTTTTCTAAAATAGAAGGTTGCGATGCCCAGTCACTCTTCATCACAAGAAATGACATACGAGAGAATATGCAAAACTGAATCAATGTGTGTGGAATTCCAAACAATTCTCAAAGCTTACCAGCATAAACTGTGTCACATGTTTGACTTACATCATGTGATGTGGCGTATAAAGCATAACCTGACAAAACACCAAGTGTTGATTGATAATTTGTGTGATCTTGCATCACAATAAAAACTTTAATCTAATTTTTCTCATAAGATGAATACAGATATAGTTTAAACCCAGGCTTTTTATGCCGTGAACCCAGCCAAGCTGCGGAGCTCTGGTTTTGAGAGTAAGGCCTTGTCAGCAGCAGTGTGCAACATATAAAGTTGCAGATGATTATACACTTTCCTAACTGGACAATCATATAGGGACATTAAAAAAATGGGATTTAAATTATTATTGGTCTTATTGTGATTTAATATTACACACATTACTGAACAGATCATGCTTGACTGAGAGTTTCAGTTCTTTCCATAAAAAGTTAACGAACAAACACACCTAAAGAGTATATTTAATACTTGTATAATCTTTATTTTTTAACTTTATATAAATTCCAGTTTTAATAGAAATTAATAACTTATTGTATATATTTAAAAAGGTGACTCCGTATCAGAATACTTACATCAATACTACAGTGTTTTTATTCAGTGGTTTAAAAATCTTTAATTTTTTTACGTGTTCTGTAAAAGTTAAATGACTCTTTAACTAACAGTAATGGTTAATATTTAATATAATATATCTATTTATTTTTTCATTTTTTACATGATTATATACTTTTACTATAAAGATTATTGTTAACTTATTACATGGATTTAAGACTAACCTAAGTTCACCAACCCATGAGATGCTATTGGGATTAAAGCAAGGATACCCAACTGATAAAACCTTGCATTCTAATTATTATACATAAGAATGTAAGAACAGTGCATTAAATTGATTATATTCATTACTGGATTAATTTTCAGTTCTGTTCCTTCCATTCATTGAACATAAAATATATGCCTGCACTAATAATGTGAAAAAGGAGTACCAGTGTAACCCACCCCATCCAAAACATATGTATAATTAATCAACAATGTTGTCCAAAAAGTCTGAATGATAATAACACTATCTTCCATTTAACTTTTGTTATAGTTGAATGTCTATTTATTTTCCAATCGAATAGTTAATGTTACTCTACTTTGTTTTGCTTTTTATTTATTATCATGTTATTTAACCAACAATTTTATATTAAGAAAGGTTATAACTGTTAACCTGCTTGGAATGGTGATTGTTAAATAAAGATTGGTTTTGCTTAACTCAGCTGCAGTTTTTTTGGTATAATATGGTATTAAAATATGAATGACAATAAAATGCATAATAGAAATACCATTTACATTTAAGTCATCTTCATAGATTAAAAATAAATAAGATTTCTGAATTACCTTTAAGGCTTTCACACTTCATCATGGTCTTCTTAACCTGTTCTTGCATAGCAACACCATATGACAACACATCTTGCATGACAATACCATATGATGCTAGGATTTTCAAAGTACTACTAGCGATAGTAATAAAATATTATTATTATTTTATTCACTTATGCATGAAGAGGTTAAGAGTTTACAAATTAATTTGTTAAAAAAAAAGTAGTTGAGTGGAAAAGCTAGTAAATGGAGTTTGGCAACAAAGAATGAAAAGTACACAGTAATAATAGGACTGATTAAACACGTATGGTCAAGCACCAAATTATTACCTTACCTGTTGTTTTTTTGTAATTAATGTTTTAGATTTCAGCTTAATCTGCATTCAATTTTACTTTAATACATATTCTTCTAATGGTTTAAATAACATCAGAAACTCATGCTCTTGAGTTCTTTTTATACTTCAATCAAACTACCAAAAGCACTCAAAACATACAATAACTACTAGATGCACAATGCTTTTCAAAATAACTTGCGTTATAGAAATACAAAATACATTAAAGCTAACTGCTCCCCATCTGTCCGTAGACATCATACAAATACTTCATAACAGTACAAACAGTGATAATATATAAGACTAATAAATAATGCTCCAACATAACTTCAAAATAAGAAGTCTTAAAGAAATTATGTAATTTTCTCTCTTAAATCTATTTACCAATTTTTTTACTGTGGAACTTTCGAACATGTAAGCTTAAGTTTTCTATCCTAGTATATACTTTATCACATAAATTACATTTATACTCTTTACGATTTTTATGCTGCCTACTGACGTGCATTGCTAATGATTTTTTAGAGCTAAGACTACTTCCACATTCATTGCACATAAAGTTATGAGAAAATCCATTTTCTGTTTCTGGTTGACATTCTTGAAATTCATCCAATAAATAGTTTTCACTCAATAGAACTACTTCAGAACTTTGAACATTTGACACAAAACTTTCATGTTCCTGGATTTTTTGTTCAAAGTGGCCAATAATTCCTTCCATCATAGGACTATATTTACAAATATTCAAAGGTAAACTTCTGTTTTTTCTTCCAAATTCCATTTTACCTAAGGAGTGAAAAAACAAATAATTTACATAACACAATTAATATTATATGTCAATTTAACAAGTACATGAAGGTGCATCCATAATTAGTGATTTACACTAAAAATTTGGCAGTTAAACAAAATATGTCTTTTAAGAGTGAAGTTTTCTGTATGAAAAAAAAACTTAAGTCTTTTGTCCAAACCACATCTGTCATATGATATTATTAAAATTCATAATTTATGAACTATGAACCTAAGTTTTGAATTAGTCACTGACATATATGTCTTAAAATACAATTGATAAATGGCAGTTTTTCAGTCTTACAAATTGATATAATGAAATGACAAATTACATACAATAGCAATACAATTACAAAATCTTTCTATGTACCTTTTATAAATAAAGATAATGCTAATTTTCATTGTTTAATAATCTGTTGTGCTGTAAATCCACAAATGGTAATAGTTTTCAGTAAAGTTTAACTACAACCAATTCATCCAGTTTAAACAAGTTTTACTTTCACAAAGTTTTACATTTCTACATTAAAGATTTCAAGTTTCTCATTACAATATACTTTTATATTTTTTCTGTGTTATTTTATGTTATGCTCTATCAATATTACAAATGAAAGAAAATTTACTTGAAGACACAACAATATACTAACATATCAAACATAAAGACACACTCATAACTTAGAAATTTATTGTTAACCCTAAATATATGAAGTATCAATGCACTTTTGAAACTGAATTTCATATTCAAGGTCATTAGTTTTTTGATTTTTTTCAATGTGATTTTTTCGCACGTGTAAATTCAAATTTTCTGTTCTAGTATAAACTTTATCACATAAGTGACATTTGTATTCCTTGCGATTTCTGTGTTGTCTGCTAATATGGACAACTAAGGACTTCTTAGAACCAAGAAAACTTCCACACATGCTACACTTAAAACCCTGAAATCCTTCAATGTTGTCTTTTTGATGATCTTGGAATTCTTCTAATAAATGATTCCAGGTAAATTGAACTTCAAGATTTTTAAATTCAGATTCTTCTGGATGAAACAACTGTTTTCCATGATTCTTGTTAATAGCAAAATCCCTTTTTATTTCCGATGCACTTATGTGAGCATACGCATTTTTGAACAAATTGCTACTTTTTCTTCCAAAATCTGAATTACCTAAGAAATACAGAAATACAGATTTTTACAATAAGAATGACATTAAAAGAAGAAAAAAAAAGTATTCATTTCAGTACTATTCTATGACAATATGTATCTCTACAATACAGAAACTGTCATACAAAACCATATAATAACACATCCATATTTTCTGAACACTTACTGAAGTAATTAAATAACTTCATGTTACAAAAACAATATCAGAAGTACTTAAATATTTTTATGCAAGTCTTAACAACTCATTTTGCATTCAAGTCTAATTACTGTAAGCAATCAATTCAGTCTACACTTTATTAAAAATGTCACTGTTATCTAAAACTCTGATACTTTACTCCTGGATCTTTCAAATCAATTATCTATTTTAAAACTTGCTTCTTTAAAACAGTCTATTCACAAAAAAATACATAGATTTAATTTACATATCTGGTGAGTAAATGCTTATGCACAAGTTTTTATAATTAATGTAATTGAAATGACAGAGCTTCAATGAGTTAAGGTGTTTTTATAGACTAAATAAAGTCTATCAGTCTAAGATTTCAGTTTTTATCAACTTTTATCTGTCTTCTGGTGCTGTCTTTACAATTACAGTTGTATGGTGTTTTTTTTTCATAATTCTCCTTTTCTGTTGGAACAGGTTTTTCATACAACAGATTTAAATGTTTCTTCTCAACAGTGGACTTCAGTTTTCATTTGTTACTTTGATCCACAGGAGTAACTACAATAAAATAAAAAGAAATTAACACAATGAACATTAATTCCTGGCATTTTTTTCCCTGCTGATACAAAAAAGTACTTCTTTGTAAATACATCCCAGGAAAGTGACCTTTATTCACTATGTATTACATTCTTGTGAATGATTCATACTGAAATTTTAAACAGGAAATAGTAATATACAACACTAGTTTAAACTAAGCCTCAGAAAAGAAATTCTATAACCCTTCCTAACTTATCTTAAATGCTGCACACTGAGTACACTTGTAATGATGCAAGAGTTTCATAAAACACCAAAATGAATTACCCTTATAACTGAAATCTTGAGCGATCGCTTCTACCATCTGGCTGAAAATCCCAAATTATCCATCAGATGGTGACAGTGTCTAATAATATTTATGTCTCTTTGGTTGAAAACTAATCTGAACCATGTTACTATCCACCTTTTATAAATAGACCAGAAATTTTATAAGGTATGTTGATAATTATTAGGACATCATGAAAATAATTCCAGAAGAATGCACAAAAAAATTATGGGTTTAAAGAGTTAAGATAGATAATGGCAAGCTACATGCACAAATTTCTAAAAAGTAAAAATTTTATTTTTCATGCAAACAAATACTGCACAATTAACAATGAAATACAATGTCTATAGTATACATGAACAAGAAGTTACAGCTACAAGTAGTTAACAAGTCATTTGAAGTAAAGAGAAACAAAAAAAAAGTATTACAAAAAAAAGAGCCAAATCATGTCAATATACTTTATATGCCTAAATATGCTCCATTTAAAATGGCATCCTACAAATATATTCAATGGTACATGTTTGTAAAAAAAATGAACTAATTGTTTGTAACAGCAACTGTAAGTTTATAATTGTAAATGTTTTAGGAAAGAAGTATTATTCCCATCAGAGTGTTTGTGTATATTTATATATATACACACACACACACATATATATACATACATACATTCAAAATGCTAATTAACAAAAATGAATTTTAGCAGGGCAATATTTTACCATTACCATGGTACTATTGGTGACAGGAAGTCAAGGCTTTCACGGGAAACTGGGCAAGTGAAACTTCTCACAAGATTTGTTTGATCACAGAAAACTTCCTTAGAAAAAAACATAAACTTTTTGCATCCCAATACTGTGTACAAGCCAGAGAGGTATCACAGGAAATTCTAAGGTGAATGAAAGTTCCCCAAAAAATATCACCCTGACTCTTAGTACAAAAATTCTTAATCACAGCTTTTTATCATAGTTTAGTAGATATTGAGGAGTTTTAGGTATATTATAAAATTTATTATTTTCTGTTACACAACAATAAAGATATGATAAAAGAATATATTGAATAGGTATCTTACTCACAAATATATGTATATATAAAAAACTTTTATTAATACTGTAGTAGTTGGCTCTGTTCTTGACAATCTACTGCTGATAATGATGACACAAAAACATTTCCTATGCGGATGGTTTGATAAGAAAAAAAAACAAAAAACTACACAATATTGTTAACTAAACAGTCATTCAGTTTTAGGTTAATGCTTTCATACTTAAAGTACTTACTCCATCAGTAAAAATGTACAGTTATGGCAAGTCAAATTCAATCTTTTGTTTGCTAAAAAAACTCAACTTCTGTAAATTTAAACACATAGATAAATAATGTTTCAATGTATTTTGAATACTTACTATAGGCTTGATAGCAAAGGATATTTCCCAGTTATGATGGGACACAATGGCCTGATTTCCAAGTGAAGGACATTTTTCATTATATGGTAATTATCTATATACATGTCCATGTTTCCCATAACTTTGTTCGTGCAAAAAGAAAAATAATTTGATTCATTAACCAAAACAGCATTCATACAGCAGATGTTATAATCAGTTATACATAAATGGTTTTCAAACAATAATTAGAGGACCAGAACTAAATACAAGTTAAAGAAATATATTCGTTTTTTTATTCTCTTGAAGTAATAATGCTATGCATCTTCTGAGACTCAGTATGGAATAATGGTATTAATTTTTAGACTATCTAAAAGACTGGCCCTAAGATGACATTAAACAAACTCCCACAATTTTACTAAAAAAATATTACATTTCCTAGATTCTTAAAGATACATGTTCATTTAAAAATATAGTATATACATGAGAAATTATTATTTTGAGTTATTTATCTATATAAATGTAACTTAACATATTTTTATTTTGTCACGATAACCACATTTCTACTTGTTCTTATTTAAAAGGAATTATAATGCTACACCAATCAAAACACTTCACTAAAAGCTATTGACACACATTTATATCAGTTACCCATATTGGTACAAGATTTTAATATTTCATCAGTACAAATTGTTCTAACATACCAACAACAAGGAACCACTTGATTCTTCATGGCTGTCCTTTTACACCCGTATTTGAGAAAAACTTAAACCCTCTTTAATTTTCAGAGAGCCATCAATTCCCTTCTTACACTCTTGTAAAGTGCCTACCTCTCTTAGTGCTAAGAGACAACATTCTACAAACCAATCATCCTATTAAAATAAAACTGTCTTAACTTGTCTTTTCCAAATTTAAACTTGTGACCTCTTGTCTTCAGAACAAAGCATAAAGAAATCAGAGGTCCTTATCCTATCAATCCCACAGATAATGGGGATTTTCAGAGATCTTAACCTATCTTTACAAGATAACCCTGCCATACCAAAAATCATCCTGGTAGTCCTCCTTTAAACCCTTTCTATTAAGTCAATATCTCTTCTTAGATAAGGAGACAAAAACTGTACACAATATTTAAGTTACCTTTTTTGGCTTGTAATTGCTATGTCTATAAATACACCTTAAAGATCCACTAGCTTTACTGCTAGCAACAGAACACTGACTCGTTGACTTGAGTGGCTTACCCATTATAATGTCAAGAGCCTTTGCTTCAATCAAAACTTAAGGAGGTTCCCATCTATATTACACAAGTTATCTAAATCATAAACCATATGTATTAGCTTACAATTAATTTAATAAAAGATCATTTGCCAAATACTTGTCAAAACTTATCAACTGATTCAAGTCATTTTGTACAACTTTAATGTTCTCAAAACAGTTATAGATAATAAAGGGTTTAATGTCATCACAAAAATGTACTAATTTACAAATTATGCCCCTATTAACATAATTAATGTAAAAAAAGCAGGCACTAATCCCTGGAACACTTCACTAGTAATAAGGGTCCAAGTTAACTTGCTTGGCTCCATTAATAACAATCTTTCACTCTCTTTCAACCAAGCATCCAACAATTAACTATTTTTTTCCAACAACTATGATGTGTGGCTCCTTATCAAAAGCTTTTTGAAAATGTATGTATACCAATTCCAAACCTTTTCCATCCTCCAAATAATATCCTCAAAAAAGTTAGAATATTAGTAATGCAAGATTTCTCTTTAGTGAATCCATGCTTTATTTTATATCATATTTCACTAAAATACTTTGAAAAGCTTCTTTTATCATACTCTATACAATTTTATTCACTACACATATAAGACTAAGTCAGTTCAAGACATAATACAAAAAACACACATAATGTCACACTTTACACTGGATAAGCTACTGGCTGTAGAGGCAAAAGGGATGAAAAACATTAGGATTAACATAGCAGGAGCAGGAAGTTAATGTAATTTTCAGATAGTGACCCAAACAACTGGCTGATTTAATAATTAGCCAAGATGTAACTATGTAGCCCTTTAATTACCACTGAGGCCCATATATTCCAACATGATGACTTGAGTAATTTTACATTTTGCCTGTAACTTATAACATTCAAGTGCACAACTAAAATGTTGACCAAAATCTTGGATAAAATCATTTATTTTCTCTAGTAAGATATACAGAATACCCCAGGAGGAATTACTGGAAATAAATTTAATTGCAATATCAACGGTATTTTCATTTTGATATTTCATGTAACTTGTATGTTATTATAGTTATCTAAACATTGCAGCCAACTCAGTAATGGTCCCACAAAAGTAATTTGATACATAAAAAGTTTAAAACATTTTCTTAAATTTAAAACAGGAGGGGCACATAATGTGTCATAGGTATCCCTAAATCATGTCAGAGTTAGCAGAACACACAAACAGTTAGAAGTAACTGAGATAGGCTTACCACCCTATACATACGCAAAAGCAATCCAGCCTTAATACAACTAGCACTACTAGTACAATTTTACTATTCATATTATTAGTATTATACTTTCGTAGTTATTGTATTAGTAGTGCAAGAACTACTTCTAGAGATACAGTGTACTAGTATTAAATGTTGGCCCAATACTATATAACTTATAAACAGTCAACTTATATTTAATTAGATTCTAAAATAAAATACTTTTAACTAATACTACTACTAGTAACAGTAACAACTAAGTTTAGGGTCGTCTCATCAGTGACATTAACAGTGTTACTTGCTTGCTTAAATTATCTCAATATTTTTTTCTTCCTTTTTTAACCATGTGTCATTAACATTTCGAATAAACTAGTGGTGAAATATCGTTGTCATTTCATTTGTTTTTTAATACTGTACTCTTACGCTAAAAAGTTGAAATTCCTTAATCTTGTCCCATATTTCAACTTCAAGCTCCACCATTTTGAACTTCTGAGTGACGTCAAAGGTCGGAAATATCTTTCAATACAATATAATAAATTTAACAATAAAACAACAATATAAAACTACAGAACATTATGATACTTAAAATTGATTATTTAATAATAATATTAAAGGTTAGAGAGAAATAGTATTAGCCTCAGATATGATATTGAGAACTGCATGTAAGTTACTAAATGAATTAATTAATACGATACACAAAACCGTTAAAATTATATGTGTGTATGTGTCTGATTGGATCATGACACCAGAAAGCTTAAGAGGACCTTCTAGGAACTTAAATACAAGAAGTAACCAAAGAAATATCAAAGATAGTTCTCTTCAAATTTGATTTCTACTATAAACAGGAAAGATTGAATCTAATCTGCTGGTAGTATGAAATACAGAAATTCATCGACCTCGTCAGTTAATTGATAACAAATTCCAGAGTTTCTAACAATGCTGCCAACTTTACTTTGGTTCTGGTTCATTTTTACATTAGAACAGAGAGTGATCCTGGAACATCACTGGCAGGCCCAAAAATCGGCTTTGCCTGAGGCCTGGGTGCTGTGCCAATGAGATAAGAACAAGAGAGTGACATAGCCAAGAAGACTCCTCCAAACAGTATGAGAATTATTCCAAGTCTCGATGGATCTGGTCTAAACAGAGCAAGCCTTAGTGAAAGTGAAGGAAGCCACCTCTGTCCATCTTTATTCCATTGCTGCCTTGAAGAGTCTTGTTAAATGTAAATAAAGTATATTTTATTGTACATCTTTTCATTTTCATTGTAACATTATATTTTGATTTTATTACTATTTATTAATGATTGAAGGTCTATTTACGCTAAATATGGTATTGTTGCGTCAGCGAAGTCACATGACTGGTGTCACGCCACGTTTCTAGAACTATCCTGTACCTTGGCGAATGCTCTAGCATTTACTAGATATAGGGTAGTGTGGTATATAAAAGAGGGTGACAACGTGACGGGACAATAATGTGTGTGTAGACAGTGAGTAATTGATCTGCAGTCAGAGAGTATTATTGAGCACGTTCGTTGTTATAGCTGTTACGTCTCCGTTTGTTAATTAACTTTCCGTAACTTCGTTCCGACGAAACTTTAACGACACAAGTCTTTACTTAATAAAACTAGTTTATTCTTTCCGAATATAACTTTACGATACACTTAATTTCAATATTCGCGCTAAAACAAATTATAACGAACGAACGTTAACTTCAACAATACCCTGTGACTGCAGTTCAATT